ATGGGGAAGGAAAGTCTATTCGATGAATAAGGTGGGAAAATTCATTATCCATATAAATGATTAGACGATTCCTTAATTCACACTGGAAATAAAAATAATTCCAAATACATGTGCTGTACTGCGCTTAGTCGCTTAGTCATGTCCGACTCTTTGCAACCCCATGGACTGTAGCCTGTCAGTCTCCTCTGTCCATAGAATTCTCCAGGCAAGAATACTGGAGTAGGTTGCCGTGCTCTGCTCCAGGGGATCTTCCTAACCCAGGGATTGAACCCAGGTCTCCTGCCTTGCAGACGGATTCTTTATGACTTAAGCCACCAGGGAAGAATTCATTATCCCTAGAAATGATTAGATGATGCCTTAATTCACACCAGAAACAAAAATAAATTCCAAATACATAAAGGATCCTAGTTTGAAAAGAAGACATATTTTTAGAAGAAAATACACAAGCACATTCTTATAACCTCAGAGTGGAAGGAGTTCTTAAGTTACAGAAAGTGCAAATTATTAAGAAAATAAGATATCACCTCACACCCGTCAGAACAGCTATTATCAAAAAGACAACAAATAACTAGCATTGGTGAGGCTATGGAAAAAAAGGGAAACTTCATGCACTGTTGGTGGGAATGTAAATTGGTACAGCCACTATGAAAAACTGTATGGAGGTACTTCCTAAACTTAAAAATAGAACTACCATACAATTCAGTATTTTTACTTCTGGGTATTTATACAAAGAAAACAAAAACACTAATTCAAATAGGTGTTCAAAGCAGCATTATTTATAAAAGTCAAGATATGGAAGCAACCTAAGTGTCCATCAACAGAAGAATGGATAAATGTTTGGCATATATATACAACAGAATATTTCTCATATACTATAAAAAGATTGAAATTTTGTCATCAACAATGTGAGTGGACCTGCAGGACATTATGTTTAGTGAAATAAGTCAAATAAGTCAGAGAAAGACAAATGTATGATTTCACTTATATGTGAAATCTAAGAAATAAAACAAATGAAAAAATATAACAAAACGGTAATAGACTCATAGATACAGAGAACAAACTAGTGATTACCAGAGAGGAGAATGGTAGGGTCAGGGACAAAATAGGTCAAGGTGATTAAAAGGTACAAGCTAACTAGGTATAAAATAAGTAAGTTACAGGGATGTAATGTTTAGCACAGGGAATATAGTCAATATTTTATAATAACTTTGTATGGAGTGCAGTCTATAAAAGTATTGAATTACCATGTTGTACACCTGAAATGTTGTAAGCCAACTATACTTCAATAAAAAATAAAATAAGCAAACTAATAAGTTAAAAATAAGAGCTCAGACATAATAGACAACATGAACAGACAAGTCATATGCTGGAATAAAACATTTACAACACACATAGCTCACAAAAGATCAGTATTGGGAGTATTTCAAAACCTATCTAAAAATAAGGAAAAAATAGTAATCTCTCCATTTCTGCTTTAGCAAAGGGTCATAAATTCATAAGCAGTAATTTAGAAGAGGAGGAAATGAAAATGACCAACAGACATACTGAAAAGATGCTTCTCTTGTCTTAATAAGAGACATGCACATTAAAACCATTTATTTTGAAATGCCATTTCATACCCTCCAGATTAGAAAACAATGAAAATTTAGATAATGGCAATGTTGATGAAGCAGAATAACTGCTGGTGGTAGCATCAATGACACAGAAATTTGAAATGGAATTTGACATAATGAGTAAAGTTAATCATGTCCATAATATGGCCCCACTGTTCCTCTCTTAGGTAGGTACCTTGGAGACACTCTTGCAGAAGCTCATTGGACACCTGGGCAAGATGGAGTGTTGCCTGAATGAGCAACAAACAGGAAATACCCAGAGAGGGCCAAAAGGGAACATCACATTATGATACTCCCCTAAATCTTCTAGTGGTTTCCCACCTCAATTAGAATAGAATTTTAAACTCCTCATCCTCTGCTTGTCTCTCTGATTTCATCAGGTGCCCATTGTGGCTCCTCCGGACACATGTCTTCTCCACTTCAGAGCAACATGCTCCTTCCCAGTCATTTTGTGCTTGGCTCTTTTTCATCCTTAAAGTCAGCCTAAATATCACTTGGAGAGTCCTTGACTTGCCACTTCATCTAAAGTAGTTTTTCCCATCTTAATCTCCATCTCTGCCCTGAAATTATTTCCTATAATAACATACATTAATATTTAAATTATGCATGTAAAGGTGCATTAATTAATAGTATACATACATTTTTGGCCTATGTTCGATGTTAAATTCATAACTTTCATAAGGACAGGCACTAGGTCTGTCTTGCTTTTTTTTTTTCTGTCTTGCTTTTGATTGTACTTGCTGTGTCTTCCACATAGCCTGGTGTATAATACTTAGTCAATAAATCTTTGTTGAACTGAATGATTGAATGAAAAAACTGCATAAATTGTATGTATCTGTTTGAGCAGTTTGTTGACCTGAGGGTACATTTGATTAGCTTTAGTTCATGGGAAAGATAATGGGATAATACAACAGCCACGTAAATTCCCAACATTTATTTAGAAGGTACAGGGAAGTGTTTATCTTTTTTGATTCTTTTTTAAATTGAAGTATAGTCAAATTTCAAGGTTGTGTCAGTTTCGGGTGTACAGAGAGTGATTCAGTTATATGTATATGTATATTTTTTCAGATTCTTTTTCCTTATAGGTTACTACAAGACTGAGTATAGTTCCCTGTGCTCTACAGTAGGTCCTTGTGGGTTTCTATCTGATTTTTGACCTCAAATAATTAACCAACACATGACTGAGTGCTTCAAAAAATTATTTTAAATGATTTTATACACAATATGTAAAGTTGATCTTTCAACTAGACTAAAACTCCTCTAGTGCCAAAATATTTGGAGGTATGAATAATGTTTTAAGATAGGTTCCAATACACATAAAAAAAACCTTACATATACTAATATATAGATTTGATGTTGAATATTCAAAGATGCAGGTAAAATAGGCCTGGGCTCTTTTTTAAAAGTCTTAAATATGGATTGATGCAGGTTTTTATTTTATTAGTATTCCATTTATCTATATTTATTTAAATCATGTGTATTATATGTACTTAAATTATATTTTGCATATTTTATACATTTTAATAGTTTTATACATTTAATTTAATTTTTCCTGGTTAGATCTTGAGCTCCAAGAAGAGTTTGCACTACAGTCAATGTAAGAGAAGGATTAGGTAGACAGAGTAATTAAAGAAACAAATTTCAGGAAAATATGGAAATAATCCAAGAGTTTTACATTTTCAATCAGAATTGTACTCTTACTCAAATAACTATAATGCAAGTAAGGTAGTTTTATTTTATTGATGAATGGAAAAATTAAACTCACTTTAAATAGATGTATTGAGAAATATTTTACATAAATTCAGGCTCTTGATCTCAAAAACTTTAAAAAAGTGATTGAATTTGTCTTCCTAAACTGACAGTCTAATATGTGAACGCTACTAGTGGGATTTCTTTATTTTCTATTTAATTTTTAAAAGCTATAATTTTGAGTACTTTTTTGTGTAAATGATTTAAAATGATTAAAAAATAAATCAGACGATTGACTTTCTGGATATGGTGCTATGCAAAAGTGAAGTTCAGATATGGAGGTTCCTCTTCTACTTTGACTTGATTACTTTACATGGAAGTTACATTAACGTTTATGCCAGATGGAAAGTAAATTTTAGGTGGTTAGCATGCTGTAATGTATATAGAAGTAGAAATACTAAACATGAAACATAATATTATAGACCAACGTCATTTCCATTAAAAACATTTACACTGAAGTTGGATGAGTTATAATCTATAAAAATTTGATTGCGTTGTATATCTGAAACTCATATAGTTTTGTAAGTCAGCTAAACCTCAATTTTATAAAAGTTGGATGAGAAACTTTTTCTTGTAATGGATTTCCACCTGCACTTGGTTTCCCCATTGTATAAGTTGCTAGAAAATTATTATGAGACAAAATGAATAAAGAGTAGAAAAATGAATTTTCAAAAAAAATGAATTTTCATTAAAATTATAAATTATCAGAGTGGTGTTCATGTAGGTATTAATAATTATAGTTAAAAAAGATATGTTCTGAATCTAGTCAAAGCTGCTATAAATAATTTTACAGTAAGTAGCAGGACCAGACTACAGCCAGTATTATTTTAACATTTAATTTAGAAAGCTCCAAAGAAGGAAACTATTTTGATATTTTAATAATTACTATTTTGATACTTGGGTTTCCTGGTGGCTCAGACAGTAAAGAATCTGCCTACTATGCGGGAGACCTGGGTTTGATCCCTGGGTTGGGAAGATCCCCTGGAGAAGGGTATAGCAACCCACTCTAGTACTCTTGCCTGGAGAATCCCCATGGACAGAGGAGCCTGGCAGGTTACAGTCCATGGGGTCACACAGAGTTGGAAACGACTGAACGATTAAGCACACAGCATATTCTGATACTTATACCATAATTTTGACAGCAAAAGGAGGTTTTTGGTTTAACTATTTGATTCAATGGACATGAACTTGGGCAACCTCTGGGAGATGGTGAGGGACAGGGAAGGCTGGAGTGCTACAGTCTATGGGGTCTCAAAGAGTTGGACATGACTTGGCAATCAAATAACAACAACCACACCACCACCAACAGCAATTTGGTTTCACTTACTGTGAACCTGAGAGTGGGTCAGGAACCGAGTAACTGCATAGCTGGCCAGCTTGCCAGTACATATTAAATAGTACTACAATTATTATTAAACAGCAATTATTGTCCCTGCATGGTGATGAGTTCTATTTGCTCAGCAAATCACATCTTTGCTATGTACTCCCTTAAAATCCACCAGCCCGGGGGCCTGGGCTGTGCCCTCTGTTTCTCCTTGGCAGAATCCTCCCTTTGGGGATGAGGCAGGAGCTCTCCAAGCAACGTCTGTCGGGTGGCCGAGGTCATGGGGTTGGGGTGGGGAGAGAGGATGCACCCACCTGAGAAACACCGCGCTGGGGCTGTCAGGAACGCTGCTGTGGGCCTCTGAACCCGACTTGCCTGGGCTGCCTGGAGTCTCAGACCGGAACATCATGTCATTGCTTGATGAGAGCCTTTTCTTCACCATTGTACACTTGTCAGCCGCCAACTCAAGAAGTAAACTCAAGGGCTCATTTTTCAAGCTCCCCAATAATGTGAAAATCTCTGTTTCAGCCTTGTTCGGTTTCTGTGTTGCAGGAAGCTCTTTCTTCACATGACTCCTAATCTAGCTGAGGTGATTTTTTCTTTTTTTTTTGAAGCCAGTTAATGAGTAACATGTAAGTATAACATGGAGTGGTTTTCATCCTACCCACATTTGCTCTGAAGGAGAAATAAACATGTTTGGCAGACTCAGCTTTCAGTTTACTAATAGGAACACCATATGACTCTGGATTTAGGCCAAAACGTCAATGGAAACTCAAAGACTTAAAAGAATGAGATGCAGAGACTGGCAGTAACTAAACATTAAAAGCAGAAATGTTTCCTTTAACCTCCTGGGCCTGATTAAAAGGGCAGGGAATGTGCTTGACGTATAGGAAATAACTAGCCCATGTTTGGTAAGACACAGGAGGCTGTGTGCTGTGGTGGAGTCTCTGGGACCTGGAGAGCTCTAGAGTTCTTATGGAAGTGATACGGACAAAGTTAGGGGAGCTTCAACATTCAGGCTATGTATTTTGCTGGTTATATGAAACTGTACTTGGTACCAAAATGGTGATGACAATAAAGACCAAAAAACACTAGGAGTTAAGGGCTCAGACTCCATCCATTGCATGCTGGCTGTCTAACCACAGGTGATCCCAACCCTGCCAAGCATATCAACCATGCTTCTCTCACAAGATTAGAAGGAAATCATATTGGAGAATATTCTACATATTATCATTTTTGTTATTTAGAACCCTACTAAGAGTGTGAAAGTGAAAGTGTTAGTTGCTCAGTCCTGTCCAACACTTTGTAACCCAGTGGACTGTAACCTGCCAAGCTTCTCTGTCCATGGGATTCACTAGGCAAGAATACTGGAGTGGGTTGCCAATCTCTTCTTCAGGGGATCTTCCTGACCCAGGGATCAAATCAGTTTTCCTGAATTGCAGGCAGATTCTTTACCGTCTGAGCCAGCAGGGAAGCCCACTAAAAGCAGGAGGGAAAATGAATTTACTATGTGATGATCTTCAGATCGTCAATCGCTTAATGTTTCTGCACAAGAAAAACATCAGTTTTTCACCAGTGTTACTAGTGGCAGGGAAGGATTTAGTTCAGAGGAGCTATATTCTCTCTCTTCTGTTTTCCTTGTGATGAGTCAGTGACATTGGAGAATGACTGCCTTAAGTGAAGTACACAGATTCTGATAGTGGAAGAGAGCAAAGTTTCCTGGGAAATCAAACCTTTAGCCTTGCTTTTGTTAGCACTTTGCTCTAACCAGCTGATAACCAGTCAGGGGTAGGTTTATGCTTCTCTGTGTGCAGTACCGACTCTAAGCATACTTTTGAAATTATTAGATAAAGTGTATATTTCAGTAGGATTTTACTGGTGCCTACCAAAATGACCAGTTTATCCCAGTTTGTCCAGAATATCCTTAGTTTTCAGCATTGAATGCCCCACATCCTAGGAACCTCTTAGAGTTGGGCAAACCAAGGCAGGTGGTTATCCTGGTTCCAGGTGTTGTCTGTTGGTGTAATGCACCAACTGTGTAATGCAGAACTGTGTAATGAACAATTCTGATGGTGTAATGCACCCAGCTTCCCTCATTTTTTTTTAATAATGCAGTATACATATTTCTCTTTTTCCATTTATGTTTCCCCTTATGTACCCCTTTTGTGTTGCAATTATGTTAGAAAGATATTAGGTAAGGTAATTTATACTAAAGTGGATTAATCAAACCCATCATGACCTAGTGATTATCATATGAAGTGAGTCAGACAGAGGAAGACAAATATGATATCACTTATATGTGGAATCTAAAAAAAATGATACAAATGAATTTATTTGCAAAACAGAAATAGACTCACAGACATAGAAAACAAACTGATGGTTAACAAAGGGGAAACGTGGGGGAGGGATAAATTTAGTTTGGGATTAACAGATACACACTACTATATATAAAATAGATAAACAGCCAGGACCTACTGTCTAGTACAGGGAACTATATTCAGTATTTCACAATAACCTGTAATGGAAGAATCGATCTATTGATAAAACCTGAATCACTTTGCTGTACAGCTGAAACTTAGGCAACATTGTAAACCAGCTATACTTAAAAAAAAAAATCAAATCCACTACCAAACCTCTATAATAGCAGCAACCTATAAGGTAATTTCTGTTCCTTATGAACAAAAAAGTCTCATCCGCACAGATACTACAACCAATGAAACATAATGTTACTGTTTCCTAGGCTGGTTTGGATTTTAACTGGGGGCAATGCTTGACTCAGGACAAAATGTCTCAAAAGGAAGAAATCCTAGGGTCAGCAGTGTCTTTGGATGTATTTTTCAATAGAGAAGATTTCTTAATATTCACTCAAATCAACAATATTTTATCAGCAAGTCTCCATGCTAGCTGCAGTGAGTGATACAAAAATATTTTAAGAAATGGGTCCTTGCTCCATTGTGTAGCTAGGAAGAGAAAATATACGTAATTGAAAAGTTAACTAACCAATGAAAGAGGGAGGAAAGCAGTAAATCAGGCTAATATTTCTTGAATCTCTGTACTATCTAACATCTTTTGTGTCTATGTAGGATCTCTGCTAGATAATTTAATAATCACATTTAATCATTGCCAAAGCCATATCTTTACAGATGATGAAAATATATCTTTAAAAAAGTTAAGCAATTTGGCCATCATTAAGTGGCCATAAGAATGTGATTTTGTCAGATTTGATTCACTCATTCAAGAAATGTTTATTAAGTGTTAATTTTTAAAAGGAGGCAACATCATCTGAGACTGGGATAATTTAGAAAGGCATAGAGGAAAAGGTGGAGTTTGAGTTGAGCTGTGAAGATTGAGGAGATACTAGAAAGGCAGCACAGGAAGGGAGCAGGGCTTGTGAGCAAATAAACAGGCACGGACCATGCACGTATATGAGAGTGGAGTGTTTGTGTCAGGGATGTAGGGGAAGAACTTTGAACATCTAGATGTTGGCTGAATTGTGAAGGACCCTGAATGCTGGTGGGTAGTTCAAGCTTTATCTTGTAGGCACTGGAAATAAAGTGAGGAAAGATTAGTCTGATGGCCATGTGCATAATGCTTTAGAAGCAGAAGGAAATGAGTGGATTCACTACTGCAATCATCTGGTGATATGGTTGTTTCATAGAGGCAGCAACTACTAGCCTGTGGGAGGCAGCCCTGAAGTAGTGGAAACAATGTTGACTGAACTCTTACATAAGATATCAGGTTCATTCCTTATCATAAGAAACTGTGTCAGAGATGAGATTTGCTGAAATTCTAGAGCATGGGTCACAAACTCAAATGCCTTCAAGACCCAGAAGAGAAGTAAAACCATGACAGGGGAGAGGGGGCATAGAAGTCTGTAGAAAGGGGGAGAGAAGTGGAGCGCTCATGCCCTCCCTGGAATCTGTCAGTGTGAAACTACAGATGCTGGTGGGAGAGAGCAACTCACACTTGGCTGAAGGCAGGATTCAGTCATGGCTTTTCTACTGAATTCCACTTCTTGATATGAGCTACCTATGATCAGTCTTAAAAATTTTGCTAGTAGTCATGTCTGCACTTTATGTTCAAACAGGAGTAAGGTTCTGATAGCACATGACCACTGAAAGAAATGTGACTGATTACTTTAGTTTTTAAATGGGTGACAGTTGACAGCTGTGCATCAATCTACACCTGCAGACACTCAGCTGCCACTGTTTGACCCCTTTGGCTATGTTTAGATGTGGCCTATACTCAAAGCACTTTTAGCCTTTGCCACAACTTTCATTTTTATGTGGAAAAATGGAAATGAAGACCAGGTGACAGAGACATTGGCAAAAAAAGAAAAAAAAAGTATGATCTGTAATAACAACCAGAATACAATGAAAATAAAAATAGCAGAGACCTTTCATATCTTTCCATGGAAAGGGAGATTAATAAATAAAACTAAACAAGATAAAAACTGACAACTAGGAGGCAGTTTTAAGTAAGACCACCAATGATGGAAATACCTCATTTTTCTGATGCTTTCCAGTAAGTCACAGTGCTGTATCTTTATCAATAGAGATTATAAAAGGCAAAGTGGTTGACTGAGGAGACTTTACAAATAGCTGAGGAAAGGCGAGAAGTGAAAAGCAAGAGAGAAAGGGAAAGATATACCCAACTGAATGCAGAGTTCAGAGAATAGGAAAGAGAGATAAGTCCTTCTTCAATGAAGAATGCAATGAAGTAGAGGGAAATAATAGAATGGGAAAGACTGGAGATCTCTTCAAGAAAATTGGAAATATCAAGGGAATGTTTCATGCAAAGATGGGTGCGATAAAGGACAGAAATGGTAAGGACATAACCAGAGGCAGAAGAGATTAAGAAGAGGTGGCAAGAATACACAGAATTGTACAAAAAAGGTCTTAATGACCCAGATAACCATAATGGTGTGGTCACTCAACTAAAGTCAGACATCCTGGAGTGTGAAGTCAAGTGGGGCCTTAGGAAGCGTTACTACAAACAAAGCTAGTGGAGATGATTGAATTCCAGCTCAGCTATTTCAAATCCTAAAAGATGATGCTGCTCTCAATATGTCAGCAAATTTGGAAAACTCAGCAGTGGCCACAGAACTGGAAAAAGTTTTATTCCAATCCCAAAGAATGTTCAAACTACCAGACAATTGTGCTCATTCATGCTAGTAAGGTTATGCTAAAAATCCTTAAATCTAGGCTTCAGCAGTATGTGAGCCAAGAACTTCCACATGTAGAAGCTGGGTTTATAAAAGGCAGAGGAATCAGAGATCAAATTACCGACATTCATTGGATCATTGAAAAAGAAAGGGACTTCCAGAAAAACATCTACTTCTGCTTCATGGACTACATGAAAGTCTTTGACTGTGGGGATCAAAACAAACTGAGGAAAATTCTTAAACTGATGCGAGTACCAGACCACCTTACCTGTCTCCTG